CAGCAAATACTAACGCGGTTTGCTCCGGCGACTTGCTTTGAAGAGGACGAAAGCGACCAAGAAGTGAGGCAGCCGATGACGATTGACGACGAACCAGAAGACGAACAGAACGAAACCCTCGTGAACAGTTTATTAGCAAAAATATTAAGCCCTTCGCGAAGGTCTGTCAGCTATTAACTGTAGTCAGACAATCGCCATTTCGCCAACCGGGTACTTTTAATGTACAGTAATGAGTCATGCGATATTGTACCTGTCAGTCCTGGATCGTTGTGACGCATTTCCGATGCGAAATGAGATCGATGAGATCAGATAGGTAATATTTAAAAACATATCAGCTGTGGTGTGGGGAAAATAAGTTTAAACTGCCAAATCTACCAATTTTTATGTGTGTGTAAAGATAGTGCAAGTGAGAGTCTGCTATTTTACGCGCGTCGAAAAACTGTTATTCAAACATAAATATTTCGCGTTCTAGATCGAATTTTAAAAATCCCCCCGAGGAAATTAAAGAAGAAAGCATGCTTTATCAGAATTTGTCAGTTTTGGCGAAAAAAGTTTAATATCGAATGTCACCGAGGGCGTAGAACAAGGTGTTATTTTCTCACTCCTTTTGTTTACATGTTCGAATTTCAGGCATTCTGATTGGTCAAGAACGCAAAATGTAAACAAACGCGCTGATTGGCTAACATTATTTGCCCTTGTTCCCCCATATAGTTTATAGTAATATTTGGCCGCCATATTTGGTCAAAATGCGCATGTCCGTCGCCATCTTGTCCCATATTTCTGGTAGTTGTAAAATCAATCATGCATAAAACTAATCATGCAAAATATCAGTCATGTGTGTGATAAATTGTGCGTGAAATGCTACTCTGCAGGCAAAAATGTCCAAGTTTTGGTGTCTGGTACTTTGAAAGTTTATAGCTAAAACACCCTCCAAATTTGCACCTTATGATTCAAATTGCGTTTTAAGCCTTCCAATTTTGTGCGCAAGCCATTTTTGAAGTGGTTGTTAACGGACATTTTCGAACTCTGCAGTTTTTTGATACATTCTGTATATAGCCAATCTTTCCAACATTTCTTAGTTTATTACTATTGGCAATGCAGCAAATTAAAAATTTAGGAAGCTCGAGTCAGCTATGTGTAAGCTAAGTTCAACACAACAATACCTTGTCTCCTTATGACGGTACGAAAATTTGTTACATAACTTTGGTTCACATTTGTGCATTTTTTCATTCACGTGGTGCTACACAATGTTGGTTAAGTACCAAGACGATATTCGAAGATGGTTCTACACATGGATTTGTTCTAAAGTGGATTTGTGGGAATAAACTATTGACACGGCGAGATTCACAAGGTAAGCGAAAATACGAGGGGTTTCCATGATGTTACCTACAGACACATGGGCGTACCGGGCGGGGGGGCGAGGGGGGCGGCAGCCCCCCCAGTTTGTTGGGCAAGCAAAGTCAGTCGGGCAATATTCGCTTCAAAGCCGTGCAATATTGGCTTATTATAAAAGTAAATGGGACAAATTCTGTCAATTTTGTGGGAAATTCTGTCAATTTTGTGGGAAATATGCTATCTAATAGGAATTTTTGGTAATCACTCCTCCCCCCCCGTCGACAACAATTTTGGAAAGTTTCTCCGAAAAAGTCGGGCACAATCCGAAAAAGTCGGGCGAATTTCTTTCCGCCCCCCTAATTTTTTCCTTCCCGTACGCCCATGTACAGACATAACATCCACTTCTCTGACATTCATCGCCACTATGTTAATTAAACAATATTATTTTTGAGTAACATGCATGTTCCGTCAGTGCGCGAGAGATCCTCTGAGCGAACGAAGCACTTGAGGCATCGTTGAGAGGTAATATGCTGTGTTGGTCATACATTTTCCCTTAGTAAAAACACTATTATTTAGTAAAATAAATCAATTCTTCTTAGATCCTGGTCTTTCGTGCACATAATCTACACATCGTTTGCGACCGTGCTGTATATTAAAACCTTCGTGTCGTTTTGTGTTATCTGAAGCACTCATGCATATATCACATAAAATGTCTTGTCATGCATAATCATGCAGTCATGTTTATACCTCCATGCACATACAGATACAATAAAGAGACGGTAAAGGTATAAGAGTGACTGTAGGAAAAATAGCTACATCTAAATACTTTTTAAATAGTTGTTTTGATTTTCTTATATAAAAAAAACACGCACAAATTGAAAGTAAGTGGTTGTATATACCTCACACAACATGGACAAAAATGCGATATATAGAGTTTGCTATTCACCTTGATAAAAACGTCGCGTTTTTTATTATTAATCATAAATACATAAATGAAATAAATCTAGCCTACGGTATTGGCAGATACACAACCTTGGCCTAATTCTCGATACAGGATTTTTGGGCATCTATATCTGATATAACTATAATTTGTAAAATAATTTTGTAGATGGAAATTGCAAATGTGACAAAAGTACCCTTCTTCAAATTTTTTATATCTCTGTAGATGCCCAAAATTTCTGATATTTATCAATACACCTTACATGTACATTGGCCTTAATCAGGGACGCCGGAACGATGTGAAGGCAAGGGGGGCGTATTTTCGTGATAGGGCACTTTTGAATTGATATATACTAAGAGATGTTTGCAAAACATCGGGAGTTGAACTTCGCCTAATAATGTTTTCTATTTATTCTTCGCCAGGCGATTGTGCTATTCTTGAAGCTCGATGACTACATTTCTTGCGTTTTCTGAAGTAAATTCGTAAAATAAATGCAATAACACTTCTGACAATTCGTTATTTCGCCAAGGCAATCCTTTAAATTGAAAGGGCACCTTTGCCCCCTTGCCCCTCCTGGTAAAGGGCAACGAGGGCGACTGCCCCTCCTGCCCCCCCCCCCAGTTCCGGCGTCCCTGGCCTTAATTATATACATGAACTTGTGGTTAGAGCTTGACGACTGGCCTTTGTAGGTCAGTTGGTTAGAGCGCTGCACAGTGAATAGTTGCATTTTTCGTAACCGCTCCTGGTTAGGTATAATAAATATATAAATTTCACAGTCGCAAATTCCATCTGCTAATTCTCGATATTGTGCTCAATCTCATCCAATAATTATACATTGCTGATTTCTAGTTGGTATTTTTGCGCAATTCTTCACTGATATCAACACTTGTTTGTGATGATAATTCAAAGTTGTTTATAGATTAAAGACAAATATATGGAAGAACTTGTCGGAAACATGACGAAACTACGACAAGAGAAGAAACAAGTGAGACAAGCCACAAAGAAAAACATCACGAATTGTAGATTGTAAACCGCTTTGGCAAGACAATATGTAATTAAATAAAATACTATCTAGAGTGTGCAGCTGAGAACGACAAAAATTATCCAATTTTGCCATGGTTTCGTCCGTTAAACATTTAGTTTACATATTTACTTTTCACCATGAATAAAGATTAGGAATTTAGCTGTCGAAATCATTTCCTTTCTATAGTATCATTGCGACCAAAATAACCAAATACGACAATAATCGATTCACAAAATCACGGTTTTGCACCTCTCTGCAGAAAATGTCCTTCGAAATTTTTAGGTTTCGTAGCTAGAAACATTTCCAAAAATGTTTTAACACCAAATTTCATTTTTGGACCGCGATTTGAAACAACAAGGGCGTTCTTCAATAATAAACTCTTAAATTGGCGCGACGTGTTTTTTAATATATTTGTTATAGTATGTTTGTGATGTTACTCTGAGTATGCATCCACCAACACAATAAATATGTTTGTTAAAGATTTGGGAATTCAATTGCATTATAGTTAGCCGGCGAGCAGGCTCTCAAGGTCAAATGAGAACCTGCACTGATGGCATACAATTTTAAATATCTGCGTCTGTGTTGGGTGCAATCACTACAGCTTCAAAGGCTGAATACTCGATCTGCGCATGCATATCTCATGTGACTCCCTAGTTCCTTACTGAAAACTCATATAGAATTACAATCAAACTTCAACTTAAAGGTAAGTCTCGTTTAATTTTTCAATTTTACCGGTTGGAGAACATTCGACTCCTGCGTCCTCAGAATGCGCGCAATTATGAACTCCCAATCCTTTGTGAGAACAATTGATTAAATTTTGTTCATGTCCAGCACAAGAAACATCATCCAACCATATATGCCCAGTCCCATCAGGAACATTGCTACCTTGAAGAGCTCTAACAGCGGATATAAATCCCAGTTGACGACATACAACCGTAGCATCAATTATATCCCAACCATCATCACATACTGTTCCCCATCTTCCATTGTAGAATACTTCCACTCGACCTGCACCATTGGAACTTGAAGGTCCTTGTAACCTGACAGATACACCTGTAAAAATTGTACCATTTAAATTGAAGAGCAGAACAACTGAAAAGTGAAAAGTAAAATACTTAATATAATGGGCCTATTCCCCCAACAGAGCTAGCACAATGCATGGCTGTAGTTGGGTACCAAATTCATTGTGTCAGAGTGCAGGGTAACTGTTGTTATCCTGGAAAATTTCCTGAAAAAGAGAAATTCATACATTCTTTACCCATATGTGTTGAATTTTTTCTTAAATTTAAACTTATATTAACTATAATAACATACTTAACATACATATGTTTGGGGATTTGAAAATTTTGTAATTACTAATTGAAAGTGATATTTTTAAGCTACGTTTACACGCTACGATTAATCGTGTACAATTCGTATTCTGGCGTATTAAAATGAGTGCTGGCGCCATAATTCATTGCCGTTTCGTTAAAAAGAAATTTCAAATGTAGCCAGCTTACGCGTGTTTACTCAAAGACATACGCCAGAAAACGAGTCGTACATGATTAATCGCAGATCGTAAACGTAGCTTTAGGGGATTTTTCAATTGTAAAAATATTCTTAACAAAATTATCGTGTTACCATGACAGACAAATACTTTAAATACTTCAGGTTCGAAAAATACAATGGTTTTGTCAGCAAGGCGAGGGGTTTCTGCATGCATGTATTTTCTAGTCTGCCAATGAATCTTGCTAACTATTTAAGTGGGCATGGGTCATGAGACGCGCAACTATTAATACTAATTATTATTATTTTGCTCCTTTCAATGGCAAACGACTTCACCAGTCAAGAGGAGGGTGCTCCTGTACAACGTGAGTGCCATAGTTTTACGCGTGTCGTTAAAAGCAATGCTATAATTTTACCTGTGAACGCTGCAAAACATTGTACTCCTGCATCCTCAGAATGTCCGCAATTATGGTTTCCCCATCCGTTATGAGAGCAATTAATTAGACTCTGTTCACTCCCAGTACATGCGACATCATCTAACCATATCTGTCCAGTTCCATCAGGAACGTCACGCCCGTGAAGAGCTTTAGCCGCATATGGATAACCAAGTGCACGACATACAACCTTAGCATCATATATATCCCAACTATCATCACATACTGTTCCCCATCGTCCATTGTAGAATACTTCCACACGGCCAGTACCATTGGAAGCTGACGGTCCCAATAATCGGACAACTTTGGATTTCTCTGTGACAATTAGAACAAATATTAGACAAATGACACAAATGCCAGACAGCCGTGCAGCGCTGATTTATGATTTCAATTATTAAATTAGGGCATTCCTGTAATAGAAACAAATAAAATGAACCAGGTCTAATTCCTATTGCTTTTCGCAAAAATGTAGCTCGATTAGGTAGAGTCTTCTTTCTTTTTTTTTAAATGATTTTTATAACTGCTCATGTGTCAAAGTGATATTCTTTTATACTTCAGCACAGAAAAAAGATCAGAATAATTTTGTCATTAGTCGGATTGAATCGCGGGTCGGAGTTTTGGACGGATATGTGAGATTCGGTCGTTTTGAAATTGTGATTGTCGAACAAGAGAGTAATGCGTTTTGTATTTTTATTCCATGCACGTACTCGTTCATTTTCATGATATATTACAATACCATAAGAAAATATGTCTTAATGTGCTGTTTCACTCAGGTTTTTCTGGTGGCCTTGCTGTTAAAAGGCTTTTTATTTATATTATATATGTTCAATTGAAGTTGTACAGAAATTAATCGAAGAAGTAAAACTTGCATAGCAATGAGTGGTTTGGTGTAACCCGAGTAATTGCGAACAGGTGTTACAAGACTTCATTTGTTACACGATTTCAACCGGTACTTGCAGCTAATTTCAGAACCATCCTCAGAGATACGAAAACTAGTTTCATATTAATCTGACACTGAAATCGAGCAATGAAAAATTCGTTGGCTCGAGCGGGTCGGAGTTGAACTCGCATCTTCGGGTATCTAGACCGCCGCTCTATACCTATTGAGCCATCGAGTCAACAGGGATTGATCGCGAGTCTTATCCAATTTAAGTGCACGAAATATTTTCGTGACGATTTAACGCTTGTCTTAGAGGACGCGCAGTGTTTCAGTTCTATTTCAGAATCATTGTCGGAGATACGAAGAACTAGTTTCATATTAATCTGACACTGCAATAAAGCAACGGAAAATTCGTTGGCTCGAGCGGGATTTGAACTCGCATCTTCGGGTATCTAGACCGCCAAATTTTCTGAAATAGAATTGAAACACTGCGCGTCCTCTAAGACAAGCGCTAAGTCGTCACGAAAATATATCGGGCACTTAAATTGGATAAGACTCGCTAACCCTTGACGAAGGGCCTTCGCTGGAAACGTCGAGTTTCTGCTTATGTTTTAAGGTAGTAATACTGTATAACCACTCAGCACAGCAATAGGTTGAGCGGCGGTCTAGATACCCGAAGATGCGAGTTCAAATCCTGCTCGAGCCAACGATTTTTTCGTCGCTCGATTGCAGTATCAGATTAATATGAAACTAGTTTTTCGTATCTCTGAGGATGGTTCTGAAATAGAATTGAAACACTGTGCGTTCTCTAAGACAAGCGTTAAGTCGTCACGAAAATATTTCGTGCACATAAATTGGATAAGACTCGCCACTATTCCCTGTTGACTCGATAGCTCAATAGGTAGAACGGCAGGCAAGATACCCGAAGATGCGAGTTCAACTCTCGCTCGAGCCAACGAATTTTTCGTTGCTCGATTGCAGTGTCGTAACATTTATAATATGCAGCTAAGTTTTTTGCCGGGAAAAAACCAGAGCGGACATTTTCGGGCGTTTCACAGCGAGCCGGATGCTAAAAAACGTCTCGCTCGAAAAAGATTCTCAGCCAATCAGATTGCTTCATTCTGACTGATGAAAAACCCATATTTATATATCTTGACATAGAGTTTCGTTTCCTTCAAATATACCATCACAAGTGTACAGGAAAAATCCATCAATATTGGCGCAGTTTCAATTTGGATGACAGTCGCCAAGAAATATTGAATTGATGTGAAAAGATGAGAATTGTATAATTACCTACGCAAACAGATCCATTTCCAGTATATCCACTATCACACGTGCAGACAAAAGACCCGCCAATGTTGGTACAAGAAGCGTTAGTGTGACAGTTGTCCATCGAGAGAGAACATTCATTGATATCTAAAAACAAAACACATTCGTTGACGACTTATTGTGCTGATCTTTACGTATATTTTAAAAGTAAAAGACAGCATATAATTTTGAAAGTGATATTTTTAAGCTACGTTTACACGCCACGATTACTCGTGCACAATTCGTATTATGGCGTATTAAAATGAGCGCTGGCGCAATAATTCATTGTCGACGTAGGAAATAATACTTTTATTACCTTCGTAGCATACGTTTTTACCTCTTTATTTTTACTCGACATGATTTCTTTTTACTCGATCATTCTAATTGAATTGATGTTAAAAAATGAGAATTGTATAATTACCTACGCAAACAGATCCATTTCCAGTATATCCATTGTCACACGTGCAGAGAAAAGATCCGCCAATGTTGGTACAAGAAGCGTTAGTATGACAGTTGTCCATCGATAGAGAACATTCATTGATATCTAAAAATAAAACACATTAGTTGACGACTTACTCAGTATAGTAAAAACCGAATGGGAGTCATCGTGTTGAAGCGCCGTGCGAAGGTACTAATTCCGCACGTCTATAATTATACCCGGGTATATGTGAAAACATGGCGGAGTAAAAAGTTGTCCTCCATTTTGTTTATGTCATGGACGCATGCGCGAGCACAAATTCTGGCGAAGTATTGTTTTTTATTTTGAAGGGACGTATTTTGTTGTTTTACAACAATTTTTATTTTATTTTTCGTTAAAAAGTTTACAACACGGTTTTTTTCTCTCGATTTTGACTGGAAATAAGCCTGCAGATTCTTGAATTAGTGGCTGTTTAACCGTAAAACAAAGTGTATATAATAATTGTTTTGATATTTTGATGTTGATGTCTTTGATAATTTAATCATTGTTGTGCGGGTTTGGGTAAGTGTAAACATTTGAGCAGTAAAATTCCATGCCGTACTTGCTTCGTGTTGTCGGTTTTATTCATATCTGTGAAATTTTTAAGCCATTCTTAACTCAATAATTCACTTTAAGAGGCAATTTTTTTCAATGTCGCGTATTCGAAATGAAAAGCGTTCAAAACCTATAATCTATTTGGCGTTCCTCTCAAAATTACTTTGTTTTAGCTTTATTTTTTAGTTTATAGAGTTAGCTACCTTTTTAAATGCATCTACCGGTTGAGAAACATAAAATAATAGTTAAAAATTGTCAATTAAAATACGAATATCAATGATACTTTAAAATTGACGCCATATTTACAGCCATATAAGAAAAACTTACTGAACTTCAGACATCATTTTCTCTTTGGCGTATATATCATCTAAAATCTCTTCATTTTGACATTATTTTACAGATAAAGCACTAAACATACTTTTTAAGTTTGTTTGCCGATTGAGAAACGTATCGAAAAATAAAAATTTTGAATTTAATCATAACCTCAGCGATATATTATACGCATTAGTTTTGAGCGCGTGTTACGTAACATACAAAAAATCTCCTCTTAATGCAAGCTGGTATGCATGGAATTGCAGTGAATGTTATCCTTTATTATAAAGCTAGCGCATCAGTTATGTTTTTATGTTTGTTTACAATGGTCTTAATACTTTATGTGGGGCTTTTATCTGCTAAGAAAGGCGAGGGGTTGCTACGTGCATGTATTTTCTAGTACTATATATTTATAACAATAGAACAATACAATACAATATAATACAATTTATTTATCCACGGTGCAATCTTCAGTATATATAAATATATATATATATATATATATATATATATATATATATATATATATATATATATATATATATATATATATATATATATATATATATATATATATATATATATATATATATTACGACAAAGAGATGGCTACGTATCGAAGAATTTATTAAAGATGATGACTAAAGTAAAGTATACAAATAAATTTTCGGCCACTTGACACGGCCTTCCTCAGAATAAAAACTAAGTTACAGCACATGGCATTTATACTATTTAGCATGCTAAGTAATTAACCTAATCCTATTGTTGTACAAAATCATGCGTAGAGTTAAGTCCTCTTTGATTAGTCAATAGCATACCAATCCAAAAATTTTCACATTCCCTTAGGTTGCCCTGGCGCCGATCAATTAGCATGAATTTCAACAATGAATAATCAGCACCATGACAATCCAGAAAATGGTTAACAATACCACAGGTTCTCTTATTACGTTTAATGTGAGACTTGTAATTAGCGAGTCGGGTCTTAAAATTGATAGTAGAACCCACTCCTTGCAAATTGCAAGCAACACAACTAGCAAGATAAACAACATTATCGGAGGTGCAAGTAAGATCTTTACCAATCTGAAATACTCTTTTAGAAACTGTGGAACTAAAGGTGGAACCTTCTTCTAAAAAGTTTTTACAACAGTCACATCGCTTGGCTTTACACCTAAAACGGCCTGTAGTTTCCCTATACGACCGGCTTTTAATTTTAAATGGATTA